AAACGCCGGGAGTACGAGTACGCTGGGATCTCCCCCTCCCTCCTCCGCCCTAAACCCTAAACCCTAAACCCTAAACCCTAAACCCTAAACCCTAAACCCTAAACCCCAAACCCTAAACCCTAAACCGAATCTTTGATGTTAGGTTGCTGTCGACCTTTTAGCTTGAGAGGGGGTTGAGGCTTCAGGGACTCTTGCAGAAATGACCCCAATGAGGTATCCGTACCACTTACTCTGCCCCTAAATCCTCCACCCCAAACCCTAAACCATCCCAAAACCCTACATCCTAAACCCCAAACCCCAAACCCCAAACCCTAAACCCCAAACCCTAAACCCCAAACCCTAAACCCTAAACCCTAAACCCCAAACCCCAAACCCCTCCATCGCCTGCCAGGTCCTCGACAGCTCCCTCCGCACGTTGCGGTCGAAGATGCGGTCCGGGCAGGGATCGGTGCCATCCGCCTCTCCTCAGATCGGGTTTAGGGTTTAGGGTTTAGGGTTTAGGGTTTAGGGTTTAGGGTTTAGGGTTTAGGGTTTAGGGTTTAGGGTTTAGGGTTTAGGGTTTAGGGTTTAGGGTTTAGGGTTTGAGGATTTTCGGATTTCCAGGATGGCACTTAAAGCCCCTGAAAAATATTCCTGAAAATGATCCTCTTAAACTAATTGATAATACAAAATGTCCCAAAGGCCTACCTGGATTTCTACAGATTCGTGGGGTTTCTGAAGGGTGTATGTATAGGGTCTATGGGGCTGTATTGGGGTTTTAGAGGGCTTATAAGGCTTATGGGTCCCCTAAACGCCAAAACCTTATAAACCCTACAACCCTGTAAGCCCTATAGGCTCTTTGAACCCCTCTAAGCCCTACAAACCTTCAGACCTCTCAAGTGCACGCAATACCCCAGCCCTGAACTGCTGAGCCCATGTCTCTCTTTGAAGATTGTGGAGTGCAGGGCGTCTTTTCGCAATGTCATAAGCTGTGTCACGAAACCTGTGGCAGCGAAGGGTTGAGGGTGTGAGGCTTAGACGGGGGTCCTGGTTTTGCTATGTGGGTTCAAAGCCTCTTGGCACACAAGCGTTTTAACATTCAGTTTGAGTGTTGTGCCTTGTGGACCTACTGGCCTGCCAGCAAGCAGTGCCAGCATCTGCCCACAAGCCCCATGCCCCGAGCCCTGAGCGCCCTAAACAGCCCCAAACAATCCCCAATGAACTGAAAGACATAAACAGTACACTAAACTTTAACTGACCCCTGATCCCAATCACACTGCAGGAGTCCGGAATTTGTGTTTTAGGGTCTAGGGTTTAGGGTTTCGGCTTCATGGGGTGTAGGGCTGACGGAACCCCTGTGGTCTGCACAAGGTGATGGGGGTTGGGGGTGGTGTTCCTGTTAGCTAACCGAACCTGAGTTCCTGAACCATAAAGCCCTGAAGCCCTTGAGCGTGTAGAGCTTGTAGGCCTTAAACCTTCAACTACCAGTAGGGGCATCCCCTTATATACCTGAAAGAGAATACAATAGAATACTCCTTATTTTTGGAACCCTGACAAGGGCTCTTAGGGTTTGGGGCTTAGGGACATCGGGGATTTTGTGAGACCGGGTTTAGCGCCTCTCGACGACTCCTCAGGAGGTGGCCCGACAGTAGTGACAGTGGCCTTGAAAAAGCGGACAGGCTTTGGGGCTTAGGGCTTAGGGCTTAGGGTTTAGGGTTTAGGACTCAGTGTTTAGCATGTGCTGCACCCGAAACTCCTACTGTAAACCGAAAACCTACCATCCAGTGCTAGCAGGCATGTCAGCCCCTAAACTCACAGCACCCAAGCGCACCCTACAAGGCACCAAGCGCTCCACCCAGAGTCTAAACGAACTCAGTACGTAACGGGCTCTCAAGAAACCCCAAGCCCTGAATGCCTCAGTTGACAAGCAGGGATGTTCCCCCTAACAGTCCTTAAGAGGGATGATATTTGGGGGTACTATAATGGGACTGTTAGTATAAGGGGGGGCCATCCCAAGTTGAGGGTTTAGGGTCTAGGGATGCTCTTGGCTAGTTCCTGGTTCATGCTCTTATGTGGGAGCTTAGGGTCCCTATCGCATGGGGGGGGCCTTTTTTCTTGTTCCCCCTAAGGCTTTAGGGTTTAGGGTGTGGGGACGCTGCTAAGCAAGTATCTTCAAGGGGGCGCCAATGTAGGACAAGGCATAAGGATCACCCGGTGTGGTGCATGGCACATCCCATCAGCACCCTCGCGCACGCCCATTTCCCAGCCGTGCCTCAAAGAGCTACTCAAAAAGTTGAGGAGACACGCACTCAACCCCAAACCCCAAAAACCAAGGAGTTTAGAGACTAGACACCCTAAACCGCAAACCGTAAACCCCAAACCGTGAACCCTAAACCCCTAAACCCGAAGCAGGCTTCCCGTTTCGGATTCCTGGCCCCCCGAAAAAAACCCTGATCATGCGCTGGCTCAGCAAAGCCACCAGCTGTGGCGCGGACATCGTCAGACTCTGAGAGAGACGCCTGGGGGTGCAGCAAACCCTAAACCCTAAACCCTAAACCCCAAACAACAAACCCCAAACCCCAAACCCTAAACCCCAAGAGCCCAAGAAGTTCTTGCCCAAGCCCTGTGACAACCTAACTCAAGGCCGACTGAAGCCCAAAATTCACCTAAGCCCAAGGCCCCCAACAGTATAACTTTCAGCCCTAAGTTCACCTAAGCCCTAGGTTTACCTAAGCACGGGCTAGATTCTACCGTAGACCCTAAAGCGCACCGTATACAACGAAACAGCTTTGCGCTATAGCAGAGAAGGGTCGGGATCGGAATTCCTAGGGCTCAAAACCCTCAATTTTAAACCGGACTTTGGGGACAAGTTGCACAGGCTTTTGGGGGCCGTTGGATGGAGGGTTAGGATTAGAGGGGGTTGAGGGTTTAGGGTTTGAGGGTTTAGGGTTGAGGGCTTGAGGGTTGAGAGTTTAGGTTTTTTGATGGTGCTGCAGTAAGGCTTAAGGGATTGGGGTTCAGGGTGAAATGTTGCTCTTCGTTCCTGTGGGACCTTGAAGATTTGGGCCCTGACCTTTCAAACTGGGGTTTAGGGTTTAGGGCATCACGGTTGTGAGCGCAACGACGCCATTCCGGGCGTAAAGTTGAATTGGGCTTTCTTTGTTGAGGATGCGCTTGGGGCTTCCAAGCCGTGGTGGCAATGATTCAGCAGCTAAGATACGCTTTAGGGGCTAAAGCAAGGGCTTAGGGTTAAGGGGTGGCCCGAACTCCCTACAACCTTCCCAGTCTCGGCGGAGCCGCGCGGAGTTCCGCCGGGAAGCCACCGACTGCCTGGGAACATGGCTGTTTCAACAAGACTTTTCTCGATAGGAGCCCGGGAAGAGCATCCACCCGAAACGGCCACAAACGACTTGTTAGTGGCTGATGCTGCTGCTAGACTCGATCGTTCAAAACGGCCTTAGAGGCTCCCTGCACAAGGCACAACCCAAAAAGCTGCCACTACTGCGTTTTGCGCATCTTCGTCAGCAGACTGCTCGTTTTAGCTTGTGACAAGCCGGATCAGGACGAACAAGATAACCTCCCAACCTCGACCCCCAGACCCTAAAAATCAAACAACCCTAACCCTGAACCCCCCTGGTTCCCCTAAACCGCCTAAACCGCCTAAACCCCTTTAACCCCCTAAATCCCTTAAACCTCCTTCTCGCCTTATGCCCAAAACCCCCTAAACCCCCTAAACCCCCTAAACCCCCTAAACCCCCTAAACCCCCTAAACCCCCTCCACCCCCTCCACCCCCTAAACCCCCTAAACCCCCTAAACCCCCTAAACCCCCTAAACCCTACGCCCTGACCCTGAACCCTGAACTCTGAAACCTAAACTCCAAACTTTCTTGATCTTGGGCCTCCGTGACGGCGCAGCGTCGTTGTCTCGTAGGAGCCTTGCCGCCTGGGGTTCAGGGTTCACGGCTGCAAGGGGGGTTTAGGGTTTCAGGGTTCAGGGTTCAGGGTTTAGGGTTTAGGGCTTTCTAATGCTGGAAGGCTTTAGGGTTTTCAGGTTCATGGGGCATGGGGAAGTGCAGGGCTTGGGCGCTTTGGGTGTAGGGGTTTGGGGGCCTTGGGGGCTTTAGGACTTAGAGTGTCGGGCTGGTTTAGGGTTTAGGGTTTAGGGTTTAGGATTTAGGGTTTAGGGTTTAGGGTTTAGGGTTTAGGGTTTAGGGCTTAGGGCTCCGGGCCCTGGCTTGGTGTAGTACTGCCATCTTCGGCCAGCGGAACCCCAAAGATGAACCACGTCCTCTGTGAAGCCTACCCCTAAACCCTAAAACCCTCAACCCTAAACCCTCAACCCTCAACCCTAAATCCTGAACCCCAAACCCTAAACTCCAGAAACCCGATATGGCTTCAAGCTTGGGGTTTTGCATGGCAGACCCTCACCTCGCGGAGATCCGAAGGCGAGACCACGCTCTCCGTCCTGCTTGGGGCTAGGGCTCAGGGCTCCCAGGGCTCCCAGGGCTCCCAGGGCTCTCAGGGCTCTTAGGGCTCTTAGGGCTCTTCGGGCTCTTGGGGCTTAGGGTTTGTGGATAAACCCTGAGCCCGAAACCCGTTTTTGTGAAGCCGGGCTTGATTCTGCCAGCACTCACTACCCCAACCCTAGACGCTCAACCCTAAGAGATCAGGGCTGTTTGGAACCCCCTTCTTGGGAGGTGTTGGAATGATTCGGAATCCCGCGGGAACTGCACGAGCGATCCGAACTTGGCACGGTATGAAGTTTGAGGGAGTTTAAGGGGGTTAAGGGGTTTGTTAAGAGGGGGGTATAGGGCTCTAAGGGGTTTAGAATGGCTGCTTTGGGGCAGTTTGTTCCTGTATATTGGTCATGATTTGGGCTCTTGTGTTGGTCCCCAAAGCGAAGTCATGGCACACCTTATCATGCCGAGGCACGCAAGACACAACCTGCACAGGTCTTTCCAAGATTGCCCTTCCGGCCCAGATACACCCTCCATACCACACTGTACCGGCATACAGGCTTTCTACCAGAAATGGTACCACTTCCGGTTGAACTCCTTCTTCACCTTCTCTGCAAAGTTCTCATCCAACATACAGGGCGCAGTGCAAGGAAGGCATCGTAAGGGCTTCTTTTTGAGCCACTTTTGGACCCAAAACTCGTTCAACACGGTATGTTCGATCCTTTCCTTCATGGTTTTTAACATCTCATCACAGGTGCCCTTGAGGTCCACTACCACCACCTGTGGGTGCCAGGGGTCTCCGTCTTCGAAGGACCAATTCACCTCCCGGGCCAGCTCGGGCAGCTCGTAGTTGTATAGCACCGACTTCTGAAAGCTGCGCTCGGCCTGTGGATTCAAGTCCTTGTTGACGACGATCACGACGCTGACCTGCTTCTTGTTGGCCATACCCTTGACAAATACCTTGCTGGCTTGGTTCCAGAAGTTTGGAATCAAACCTTTGTTGTCAGATGAATCTGTGAATGCTTCATACACAGCCGGGTCTTTGTTGCACGCTTCAAGATCGCCATGATCTGCAACCATTTTGCCGAGCTTCGAGCTGGGGTGGACGGTGTCGGCATCCACCGAGTCGGCAAAATCAAAGAGGGCCTGCTTTGTGGTACGGCCTGGTTCTGATCCAGCGCCATCCCACATCCCCGCCCAGAGCATGGCCTCTTTGTCAGATGCAGCCAAGGTCTCAAAAAACCTGGGTCGAGCCCAGCCAGAGAAGATGTTACCAACTATCTTGTTGCAGTCATGCCCTCTGGACTCTCTGAGCTGGCAAGCAACCATCAGGTCTCGCTGCAGACCCTCCAACTGTTCCTGGCACCGAGGCGTCAGGCGCTGGAACTGCTGCGCCAATAACACATGGTCGGGCTGGAGGTCCAACTCCGCACTCTTGGGCCGCACTGCGCGGCCGAAGGGGCGCAGCGTTGCAACAGCCGCAACAAGCAGTGGGATTCTCACCATGCATATGGACTCACAAACAAACAGGTCTTTTGGTGCTTGAGGCTGTCACACCCTTGCAGCATGGAGTTCGGGCAATGAAAGAATCAGCGCACCAGCACACACAGAGACACGGAGACACGGAGTCACAGAGGCACAGAGGCACAGGTACAGACAGACAGACACACACACACACACACACACACACACCCACCCCCACCCCCACCCCCACCCCCACCCCCACCCGCACCCGCACACGCACACGCACCCGCACCCGCACCCGCACACGCACACGCACACGCACCCGCACACGCACACGCACCCGCACCCGCACCCGCGCACGCGCGCACGCGCACGCTCACCCGCGCACGCGCACCCGCGCACACGCGCACCCGCACGCGCACGCGCACGCACCCACCCACGCACGCACGCACGCACGCGCGCACGCGCGCACGCGCGCACGCGCGCACACACACACACACAACTGATTAAACTTAACTGAATACCTGCGTTTGGGAAAGGCTGGGGAGACAAAGTTGGGACTTTTCACCAACTTAGCATCTTGACTGCGTGAAGACTCTCAGCCGCCGCCCATCGAAAGCAGGATCGAGGCTGGGCGAAAGAAACGAGAGCCTTTTCAACACCAAAGAAACCCTCAATCAACAAACCAAACCGAAGAACCCCCCCCCCAAAAAAAAGAAACAATAAGAATAAAAGGCCATTTCCAAAAACTGAAACATGCGTAAACCTTAAACCCCATGACAGCCCCGTCACCAGGCCAAACAGGCAAACAAACAAACGAAGTTCCCAAACCAGTTTACAAAAGTAACAACAGCTCGTTCACGTGTTCAAACTTTGCCCGACTCTGCGCTGATCCTTCTCTGCCATGTCCTTGAAATATGCCAGGCTTGCCTCCCTCCAAAGGTATGGAATCAAACCTGTGAATTGTTCAAAGGCAGCAGGGACTTGGTTCCACAACTGGAGATCTCCATGTTTCTCGATCATCTTTCCCAGCTCCGTGCTGGGGTGGACGGTGCGGGTGTCCATCAACTGGAGACCAGCCAGAGAAAGGGGTGGGCCTAGCCCGAAGCCGCCGCAGAGACCCAGCCTCCTCGTAAAGTCTCGGCCCAGATCCCTAAATCTTCCCGGAAATTTGGGTCATGGGTAAGCCTCATCGGCTTGGTCGCCGCAGCCCAGCAAACTCCCAAAAAACTGTGCACTCCGAGACGTGCTGCGCCGCAAAGGGCGTGTTTGGTTGTAGCGTTTTGCTCATTCATTTTTCTTCCTTGAACCTCTTCGAACAAAAATATTCCTCGAACACACTCCGAAATACAGCATAACCCTCTTCAACCCAATAAGTGATGGAAAATGCCAGACATCCCAAGGGCCTGCCTAGCTTAGTCATCAGGTCTAATCGAGGGCTCGGAGGGAGAGTGAAAGAACTGATGAGCTTGGCAGCATCAGCATAAGGTTATGAATCGCGAAAACGTTTATCATGGCACTTGATCATTGGCAAGATCTACATCTGCTGAACCCTAAACACGAAACCCTAAACCCGAAACCCTAAACCCTAAACCCTGGCCGGTCAATGTCCTCTCTTGACGAATGTGCACCAGCATCTCATCCATCTGCCATTTGCCCTTGGGCAGCTCCTTGAAAAAGATCCGCCTGCACCAGGTTAGGGTTTTAAACTCGCCCTAAACCCCAAACCCAAAACCCAAAACAAACCCTAACCCCTAAACATAAACCCTAAACCCACCTGGACGGCGGTGGCGGCTTCTTTGCCAAGTGTGGGAAGACGGCAAAGTAGTTGAACTTGCCGGGCGGCATTGCTACCACCTTGGCTCCCCATCTTAGTAGCCCAGTAGCCATATTACAATAAGGGCACCCTTTTTTTGGTTGGTCATCCTATAAGGGAAACCATAAGCAAAAAAAAAGGGTAAAGGGTATCACTGGGCTACCAAGCCATTCATGCTGACCGGTGCAGCGAATCGGCTTCTGTATTTGCTGAGCAGGCGGGCAGCTCTCCAAATTAGGAGGTCCCTTTATTTAGGGGTCCTTATTACAATGTGTAAAGCGTCCCCACAGAAGGACCCGAATTTAGAGAACTGCCCAATACTGCCCATGTAGGTCCCGTATCGCAGTGCTTGCCGTGCTTGATCTTCACAGCGGGGAGGTCTATTGGCTGTTTTTTCCTAAACCCTGAACCCTAGACCCGAACATCCCGATATCTGAGATCCCAGGGAATTGGCCGAAGAGCCCGTCGGCCGGCTCCGTCGGCCCCCCCTCTTGTCTTGGGGCCAACCCTGATGGGCGAAGCATCCCTCCCAAAGACCTAGAGAGGAGCCTAAGCACATAGCTCCCTGAACCCTAAACCCTATAACCTTAACCTTATAAGCCTTAACCCTCTACCCCCTACCCTATAACCCCTAAACCCTCGAACCCTCGAACCCAAAACCCTAAAGCCAAACCTGTCAACCCAGTAGTGGCAGACCTTAACATCCTCCCACCCCTCATATGAGGGTTTCGGAACTTGGGGGCCCTTCTATTTGGGGGTTCCACCCTAAACCCTCAACCCTAAACCCCAAACCCTAAACCCTAAACTCTAAACCCTAAACCCTAAACCCTAAACCCTAACCCTAAACCCTAAACCCCATATCGAGTGAGGTACCATGGAGGCTTCGGGTGTGCTGGACTCGTCATCTGCTTCGAAGGTCGGCGTCACAGGTGGGAGCTGGATCCGGCCTCTTCAAGAAAGGCAAGGGTTTAGGGTTTAGGGTTTAGGGTTTAGGGTTTAGGGTTTAGGGTTTAGGGTTTAGGGTTTAGGGTTCAGGGTTTAGGGTTTAGGGTTTAGGGTTTAGGGTTTAGGGTTGAGGGTTTAGGGGTGAGGGTTGAGATTTGAGGGTTGAGGGTTTAGGGTTTAGGGTTTAGGGTTCTAAACTCTAAACCCTAAACCTTTAGGGTTTAAGCTTCAGGGTTTGGGGGATTTTAGGGCTTAAGCTTCAGGGTTTTGGGGATTTGGACAAAAAGGTGTCTGGGCTTGGGGTTGAGGGCGTCCAGGAGTTTTCAACCCAAGTCCAGCTGAGGGATTTATACTGCATGGCTGAGGGGTGTATAGGGCTGAGGGTAGAGGCTTCAGGGCTTAAACCCGAAATGCTGCTACTTTAGACCCCGAAAAAATATGTTTCTCAGTACTTCGCATGGAGCAGCTGACTTAACGTTATAGGACTCTTGGCTTAACCTGCCAACTTTTTGGGATCATCAGGATGAAGAGCCGTTTCTTGACCTGGCACTGGGTGGAATATGTACGCATCAAGAAGAGGTCCCTCAACCTAAACCAGAAGCTAACCGTAAACCCTACACCGCAAGACTCTGAGACTAACCTTTCGCCTCTCAATGTCCCCAAAGCCTCACCTGAACCCAAAGCCCTACACCCTATAAGCCTTTGTATCCGAACTCCCACTCCATGAACCCACAACTAAGAGTTAGGGTTTGGGGTTTGGGGTTTAGGATTTAGGGTTTAGGGTTTTAGGGTTTTAGGGATTTAGGGATTTAGGGATTTAGGGTTTTAGGGTTTTAGGGTTTTAGGGTTTTACGGTTTTAGGGTTTTAGGGTTTTAGGGTTTTAGGGTTTTAGGGTTTTAGGGTTTTAGGGTTTTAGGGTTTTAGGGTTTTAGGGTTTTAGGGTTTTAGGGTTTTAGGGTTTTAGGGTTTAGGGTTTAGGGCTACAAAGTGGCCTGAGGATCGACGCCGCAAGCTCATGGTGTGAGTCATCTGCATCTCCTCAGCTTCGGGCTTTCAGGTTTGCGGCCGCGGTATAGTCCCAATCATATTTCCCTTGGGTTCAATATTGGGGGCTTAGGGTTTAGGGTTTAGGGTTTAGGGTCTAGGGTGTAGGGTTTAGGGTTCAGTGTGTATATTCCGATCACATTTCCCTTGGGTCCGATGTGGGGGTTTCCGAAAATAGGGGGGTGCCCTTTGGGGGTCCCTACAACAAGGAACAGACTATTTCGGGGTATATTAAGGGTGCACCTATTTGGGGAGCCCATGTTCGGTTTCAGGCATAGGGTTTAGGGATTGGGCTTTAAGTGCTTGCAGGGTTCTTATGAGTAGCTGCTTGTTTCGCAGTCTCGCATGGGAAGCATCATTTGCCCATCAACCCTTGAATCGCAGATTCGCTCAATGATTCCCTCTAGGGCTTTCCACGTTTTTCGCTAGTTGCCGAATTGCTCATGACATGTTGGTGTTTTTCTTGCAATTGTCCAAATTTGGTTTTAAAAGACGTGTTTCGTTGCGCGTGCCAAATATTGTGGTTGTGTACTTCCCTTTTGCTGGAGAGCTGTTTGTGCTTCTGTTCGCGCTTTGTTCGTGGCTTTTGCTCGCGTCTTTACGCGTTTCTGCTTTTTCTTTTTGACGCGGAATTAGTCTTGGTCTTGTTCTGGGGTGTTCTCGTGAAACTTAATTAAGAATTTCGTCCAAGCTTGCATATTATTTGATGTTTTCGTGGAACTTTTACAGGATGCGTGTTTTGGTGGTTTGTTCGTGGGTGCTTTGGGATTGGGTCGCTGGGGTCGTTTAGGGCTTCGTCGGTTGTAGGGTGTAGGGTGTGGGTTTCGTGTTTGGGGTCTGGGGAGAGAGAGGAGGAGGGAGAGAGAGAGAGACAGAAATAGAGAGAGAGAGAGGAGAGAGAGAGAAACGAGAGAGAGAGAGAGAAGAGAGAGAGAAGAGAGAGAGAAGAGAGAGAGAAGAGAGAGAGAAGAGAGAGAGAAGAGAGAGAGAAGAGAGAGAGAAGAGAGAGAGAAGAGAGAGAGAAGAGAGAGAGAAGAGAGAGAGAAGAGAGAGAGAAGAGAGAGAGAAGAGAGAGAGAGAGAGAGAGAGAGAGAGAGAGAGAGAGAGAGAGAGAGAGAGAGAGAGAGAGAGAAGAGAGAGAGCTAGAAGAGAGAGAGAAGAGACAGAGAAGAGGGAGAGAAGAGAGAGTGCCTTTGTCCACAACGTTTAGGGCAATTAGGTTTCAAAGTCCAGTCATCCTAGCTTCGGGCGCCGCCGGCATGGACATCATTTGCTGACTCCACTCTTCGTGGTCGGCCGCTGTCATGGCAGAGCAGCCTGGAACGAGGTTTGGCTTTTCAAGCAGGGCCTGCAAATCAGGGTTCCCCAAGCCCTCTATACCACCCCTCCCCCCCAAAAAAAAAAATCAATAAAAACAAAATCGAGTGGAATCCCAATTACAAGAACACCCACCCACCCACCCCACCCCCCTCCCCGCCGAAAGGTGCCCCCTGAGTATGGCTCTTTGAGTCTGATTCTTTGGGCCGTGTGGACTGTCGATGGGTCAAGCCTATGCAATCACCTCACTCCTGGGCCTAAAGCCCCCAAACCCCCTAAACGCGGCACCCTGGACCCATACCCTGAACCCCCCACCCCCACCCCCCTCCCCCCCCAAAGCCCCAAAAAGGATGAAAGAACCCTAGACCCTAGACCCTAGACCCTAAACCCTAAACCCTAAGCCCTAAACCCTAAACCTAGACCCTCCCTCCCCCCCCACCCCCACCCCCCTCCTCCCCCCCCCAAAGCCCCAAAAAGGTTGAAAGAAACCTAGACCCTAGACCCTAGACCTTAAAACCCTAAGCCCCTAAACCCTAAACCCTAAACCTAGACTCTCCAGACATTCAAACCCCCCCCCCCCCCGCCCACCCCCCACCCCCACCCCCACCCCCCCCCCCCCCCCCCCCCCCCCCCAAAAAAAAAAGACTCCAAGGCTCGGCTACGGCTCGGCCGATCCTTCCAGGAGGTGGAGGCGAAGGATGGACTCGCAGGGCTCCTCTTTGGGGAGGCTTTGATAGGGTTTAGGGTTTAGGGTTCAGCATCTCAAGTTCGAGCATTTACTAGGCCAGCAGTGTGTGTAGGCAACGGAAAAAAACCCACCCACCCAGAGAATCCCAAAACATTAAGAAAATAAAAAATTTACATTTCTTACCAGCAAGCCCTGTCCTCCAACCTCACTCCGTCATGGACCATCCTACCCACGAACCATTTCATCGGCCCCCATGGAGGGGCGGGACTTTGAAACCGTCGGTTTTAAGGGGGTGGGGGGGGGGGTGGGCGGGGGGTTGGGGGGGGGGGGGGGGGGGGTGGGGGGGGGGTGGGGGGGGTGGGGGGGGTGCGGGAGGGGTTGGGGGGGTGGTTGGGGGGGGGGTGGGGGGGGTTGGGGGGGGGGTGGGGGGGTAGGGGGGGGTGGGGGGGGTGGGGGGTGGGGGGGGGTGGGGGGGTGGGGGGGGTGGGGGGGCGGAGGGGGTTGCGTGGGGGGGGGGGGGGGGGGGGGGGGGGGGGGGGGGGGGGGGTGGGGGGGGTGGGGGGGGTGGGGTGTGGGGGAGGGTGGGGGGTGGGGGGGGGGGGGGGGTGGGGGGGGGGGTGGGGGGGGTGGGGGGCTGGGGGGGGGTGGGGGGGGGGGGGGGGGAGTGGGGGGGGGGTGGGGGGGGAAATTACCCTTAGCCACGAAGAAATTACCCTTAGCCACGAAGAAATTACCCTTAGCCACGAAGAAATTACCCTTAGCCACGAAGAAATTACCCTTAGCCACGAAGAAATTACCCTTAGCCACGAAGAAATTTAACCCCTTAGCCACGAAGAAATTACCCTTAGCCACGAAGAAATTACCCTTAGCCACGAAGAAATTACCCTTAGCCACGAAGAAATTACCCTTAGCCACGAAGAAATTACCCTTAGCCACGAAGAAATTACCCTTAGCCACGAAGAAATTACCCTTAGCCACGAAGGAAATTACCCTTAGCCACGAAGGAAATTACCCTTAGCCACGAAGAAATTACCCTTAGCCACGAAGAAATTGCCCTTAGCGACCAAGAAATTGCCCTTAGCGACGAAGAAATTACCCTTAGCGAAGAAATTACCCTTAGCCACGAAGAAATTACCCTTAGCCACGAAGAAATTACCCTTAGCCACGAAGAAATTACCCTTAGCCACGAAGAAATGACCCTTAGCCACGAAGAAATGACCCTTAGCCACGAAGAAATGACTATAGGGTTTAAATATATATGTGATAGAGAGGTTTAGGGTTTAGGGTTTAGGGCTTAGGGGGGGGGTTCAGGGGGGTGTTGGGAGGTTTGGGGGGTTTAGGGATTTGGGGGGTGTAGGGGGTTTATGGGGCTTTGTAGGTTTGCAGGGTTGGGATTTGGCAGCGTCTGGGCGTTTGGGTTCGGGATGTAGGGTGCAGGGATTGACCCTATTCTGAAGCCCGAAGCCCCGGGTGAAAAAAAGGAATCTGAACTTGAGACAGCCAACAACCTGAGCACCCACCTCGAACCACAGGCCCTCGCAAAACCTCACCTCCGTTGTGTCTCCAGACCCTACCTTAAGGACCCCAAAACCTACTTTTGTTTGTCGTCTCCTATTGCAAAACCCCCTATAGGATAGGCTCTTATTGCAAACCCCTTTATGGGATTCTTAGGTAGCCCTCAGAAAAGTAGATAGGTTTGGGGTTCTTCAGGTAGATCCTCAACCCAAACCCTGGACCCCTATATCCCTATATCCCTATATCCCTATATCCCTAATCCCTAAACCCTAAACCCTAAACCCTAAACCCTAAACCCTAAACCCTAAACCCTAAACCCTAAACCCTAAACCCTAAACCCTAACCCTAAACCCTAAACCCTATGTCTGCCAGGCCGCATCTGGCTCGTGAAGGGTGAGACCGTAGTGGACAGCGACGTCCGCTGCACGGAGTCTCGATGCCGCTGTACGGAATCTCTCTGCCTCAGTATGATTTATCTATGCTCCCCTTAGAACCTTACTAAAAACAATGCTGTTAATATTATCTTGAGTTTTATAAGAACAAAAACAAAAAAGTATTCCCAAGGGGGATATAGTTATGGTTCAGGGTTAGTAGCCTGAATGCTTTTACTATGCTGTAATGATCTCATACAGAAATATATTCAGATATGCCCGAATTTCTTCTATCACTATATTCCTATACGAGCTTATGTTTAGTAGTATGATATGAGTATATCTCCATACCACGAAAGAATACAGCATGATGTTTATGTAGTATTAGATTGGTACCCCAGAACTCGCCCAAAACCCAAAACCCAACACCCAAAACCCTAAACCCTAAACCTCGTTCCGGGGGGCTGAAGTGATGACTCTGTGGACAGCCTCTTATTTGCAGCAGCAGCGCCTGGCACCGAGCCACAGGGGGTTGCCTTGGGGACCAAGCGAAGCCTGAAATTGGGTTTAGGGTTTAGGGTTTAGGGTTTAGGGTTTAGGGTTTAGGGTTTTCATATACGCAATACTTCTAGCTACGTGTGAGGCCTGATGGCTCGACTGGCCCTCAATCTCCTTAACATGTCCACCCGAAACCTTCCACCCTCCAAGCCCACACGATTCTATGTCCCTAAACCCTAAACCCTAAACCCTAAACCCTGAACCCTAAACCCTAAACCCTAAACCGTAAACCCTACGTCCCACCCTGGCCCGAACGCCTTTGGAGCTGCCTGGCGGAGGCTCCTTGCGCGGGCTCTCCTTCAAGCCCGAGAAGAAGTTCTCCAAGCGCGTCTGCCTCTCAGAACCCTAAACCCTAAATCCTAAACCCTAAAACGTACACCCTGAACCTCAAATTTGAACCCTAAGCCTTGAATCCTAAACCCGAAATACTACATCCTAAGCCCTAAATCCTAGACCCGAAGCCCTACGTCCTAGCTCCTATCAAGCTGCAGCTGCACCCGGCCTGCAGGGTTTAGGGTTTTGGGGTTTCCGTGAGTTTCGTTGCTACTAGGCCCTCTGAGAAATATTCACAGATTCAGGTCCAGGAGGGACTATCCAAGATAAGATACCCCAAGGTCCTACCTTGCTTAAGGCTTGGGGCTTAAGAATCAACTGCCCCGAGGTTCATAGATATTTCAAAGGCCATGCAAACAAAGTCCGAAACAAAGAACCCGCAAATACCTGGATGTGACAAGGAAGGATTTAGGGCGCCAGGTTCTGTTGGGCTTCAAGGATATTCTTGTGAAATGTTTTCGACACTTCTTTGAAGAGGGGTGAGGGGGGCTCAGAGCCGGTTGGACTTGAAAATTCAATCTTTGGGAGAGGGGTGCTGCAATCATGTCTCCAGGAGCCGATGGCCTGTTTTGGGTGCTTCTCTGATGTGGGCCACTAATCTCCGCCTGTACTACATTGAACCGGCAGGTCACAGAAAACGTAAGTCGCAGGCGGTGTTCAGCTCCCTGCTAGGCCCACACACAACCTTCTCGTCCTCGGCCACCATCAGTTTCAGCTCGTCCATGGAGCAAGCTGCTGGCCGGCACGTCTCAAAGTGCTGCCTGGGGAAGAGAGAAGATCCAAGTTTGGCGACCAGCAAGCCTTCCCTCACGGCGTTCTCCTGCTTGCACGCAAAGTCAGCGTGACGTAGAATGGAGAGGTGGAGCCAGCATCTGTTCAGGAACTCCACCGGCTCTTGCTGGCACTCGGCAAAGCTTTGCTGGTGCGCTTGGAAGAATGCTTGGGCTTCGGCCTTTGCGGCGTCGTGGCATGCAGTCTCCATGCCTGGCGAGTTTGAAGAATCGATCCTTCCAGAACAAACCCTAAAGGAGTGCATGGTGCACACACTTTACTTGGGGGAGGAGACAATAGAATAGGGTGTAATTTATCTAATCTTGGGGTTCAGCGGCTAGCGACAGTGCTGTAAGCATTGGGAGCTTCGGGCTCTATATGGCCCTACATTCTCTCAGGGACGAGGCTTAATGGCTGCCGGCAAAGAGCTAGCTGCGGCTGCGCCGACGTCGCCCTTGCCCAGCAAGGCAAAGGAAGGCACGGAGGGGCGGTGGTCAGCGTGAAGCATCGGGCGCACGGCCCTCACGGCGGCGCAGCTGGCCAGGGTGGCCAGGATGCGAATCCACTGCGCCATGGGTATGAAAGTTGAAAAGGGCTGGGATTCTTCAGACCACAGCTTAAGCTCCAGGCAAGCGGCTTCGGGCTGCGCGGCCCAAAGAATTCCGACGTAGCTCAGCGCCCTATACCCCCCACTCACGCCCACGCACAAAAATTGCCATCCCTGAAATCGAAACCTTCGGCCATGCGAATTCCGTGGACTGCAAACCTCTGGCCAGAAATTTGGGACGCGACTAAATGAGGTGGTGTTGCTTGAAGCGATTGAACAGACAAGTCCGACATGGAGATTTAAGCACATTGCCATGCACCCCTTTCGACACGCATCCAATCTATGAAGCCCCTAACCCCCAAAACCCTAAACCCTACAATCCTAACACCTTCAACCCTAACCCCAAAATCCCCAAACAACTTCAACCCAAAACACTAAACCCCAAACCCGAAAAGCCTTATACTAAAACTTCAACCCCAAACCCTAAACCCTACAACCTTCGAAGTTTAAGTTTCCAACCCTAAACACCTTTAACCCCAAACCCTAAACCCCTTCTGCCTGTGAATCTGGCCCTCGTGCTCCCACGAGCGAGTGCCGCGCCGGTGCTCGGCATCGTGCAGACCGATCATCGCCGCCCGGAGGGCGGACACCTAGTTTAGGTTTAGGGTTTAGGGTTTAGGGTTTAGGGTTTAGGGTTTAGGGTTTAGGGTTTAGGGTTTAGGGTTTAGGGTTTAGGGTTTAGGGTTTAGGGTTTAGGGTTAGGGTTTAGGGTTTAGGGTTTAGGGTTTTGGGGTTTAGGGTTTAGGGAAATACAAACAGCTGGGACGTTACCCCTCATACTGACAGCTCCTTCATAGGCATTAAACAACCCCCGATTACAGTATAATCCCAATTAAGACCTGTCAGTGTAAGGGGGAACATCTCAAACTAAACCCTTTAAACCCTATGAACCCCACTAGACCCTAAACCCTAAACCGTAAACCCTAAACCCTAACACCTAACCCTAAACCCTAAACCCTATGAACCCTCAAGGGCGGAAGCCTGGCTCATGTGGGTGACCACAACGCTGGCCGAGGCCCAAAGGTCACGGGCGCTTCTTGGTGCGTCCTACGTCAGCAGAAGACTTCGGGGGCCTTTAGGGGTTGGGGTTTAGGGTTTAGGGTTTAGGGTTTAGGGTTTAGGGTTTAGGGTTTAGGGTTTAGGGTTTAGGGTTTAGGGTTTAGGGTTTAGGGTTTAGGGTTTAGGATTTAGGGACCTAAAGCACTGGAGCCCAAAACGCTCGACCGAACCTGAACCCTTCAAACACTTCAAACTCCAGATCAAACCTTCAATCCCTGACCCCTAAACCTCTACACCTGAAACCCTAAACCCTAAACCCATGGCTCGTAAGAGGGGTTTGTGCAGGGCCTGCACAACGCAGCCTAAAACCTGGAACCCTGTACACAGGCAAAACACCCTGGAAGCCTGAACCCTAAACTCATGGGCCTTATGGCCTTCAACGCCCCATTTGTAATCCTAAACCCTAAACCCTAAGCCCTAACCCCAAGCCTCCAACCCCCCAAGTTGGAAATGTTCTGTCGCCACCCTCTCCTTCCTCTCAGCCGCCTGACGCCAAATCGACTGCAGCTCCTCTGCCCGAAGAGGCCAGGGGTGTTTAAGTCCCAATAAGCCCTAAACCCCAAATAACTGATGTTTTAGGGGTGTAGGGCTCCCTGGCTTTCAGGGTTTTTAAGCTCACTCAAGCACGGTCTCTCTCAGGTTCCCCAAAACGTCCAGTCAACTCCTCTTCACATCCTCAAAGCTGATAACCTCTAGCGCCCGAAGCTTCCCTATGCACCCTCCGAAAAGCCTAGACCCCTGCAACCCCGTAAAGCCTAACACCCTAGACCCTCCCCTAAACCCTTAAACCCCAACACGCTAACATCCTAAACCCTACTGAACCCCCTAAGCCCTACCCTAAACCCTAAACCCTCCCTAAACCCTACAACCCAAAACCGCTAACTCTCTTCCGCGAGAGTCCTTGCCTCGGCGCGGGCGAGCTCCAGAGCCCACCGGCGGAGGGCTCCGGGCGTTCCATCCTGGAGACAAGCTTTTGGGCCTTGTTTGGCCTTCCCTAAACCCTGAACCCTAGAGCCGAAACGCTGATCCCTAAACCCTAAACCCTATAGGCTTCACATCAGTTGCTCCAGGGGGCGCCGCAGAGGTTGGGAACCCTCAAGAAAGGGCTTTCTGGTGCATGTACCCGAACTTAAGAGTGGTTGATGGTAGCTTAGGGAAAAATATTAATTCCAAGCCATATAAACCCTAGAAGCCCCATACCCCTACCTGATCCTTTGCTCCAGAAACCCCCCCTAAACCCTAGACTCTAAACCCTAAACCCTAAACCCTAAACCCTAAACCCTAAACCCTAAACCCTAAACCCTAAACCCTAAACCCTAAACCCTAAACCCTATAAACCCTAAACCCCAAACCCCAAACCCTAAACCCTAACCCCTCAGTTGCATAGCATCGAGGCTCCTCCAGGTCGGCAAGCCCAGCCTGCGAGGTTCCGAAGACCATCAGGGAAGCCCCTTTTTGATCTTTTTTGGGTTCAGGGTTTAGGGTTTAGGGTTTAGGGTTTAGGGTTTACGGCAAAGGCTCTGTCACCCCTAGGAGCCCCCAAGCGGAACCCCATAAGCAAGCTTTGCTGAGTCCCGCCGAGTTCCACTTCAAAGGGCAACTACTTCGACTACGTTTAGGGTCTAGGGTGGAATGATGGGATCGGAATTCGACCGCAACAACACATCGGGTTTAGGGGATATAGGCCTTACGTTTAGGGATGATTCGGGATCTGGCAATTGGAACACCATGGAAGGAACGAGCAACCACGCAAAGATATGGATGCGAACAGAGACCGCGATGGGGGAGGGAGGAAGAATGAGCGCCATATGCACAGGGAGAGAAGAAGAAGGAGAAGGGAGAAGGGAGAATGGAGAAGGGGAAGAGGAAGGGGACGGAGAAGCACAAGAAGAGAAAGAGCGCACCTCGAGCTCCTCGTGGCCAAAGAGCCGCCAGAGGCAGTCCAAGATCAAGCCAGTGGCGCGGTCGCCTCCTGCGAGCTCTGGGGGGAGGTAAGGGGGGGAGAAGAAGTGGGGGGGCTCCGGCCTGATGAAAGACCGCAGAAAGACCCTAACCCCTAAACCCTGAACCCTATGCTCTGAAGCTTAAGGTCTTTGGACATTTCAACCTGAGCCCCACAGAAAGCCGAAATAACCTTTAGGAGGGCATGTGGATGTCGGTCTGTACGGTTTGGGCTCCCTGCGTTAGGGGCTACAAACCGCTTGGACATAAGCTCGCAATACCCCCTGTGGCCAAAATGACCAGAATACCCACGTGGCTACAACCAACCCCAAACCCAATACCCTAAACCCCTAAATCGCCACCTGCAACCCCTAACGTCAACTTCAACCTTCCCTCCCCCAATGATGAACTGGAGCCCTGCCCAAGGCGAGGGTTCAGGGAAGCGGTGAGGAATCCTTTGATGAAATCCTAGTTTTTGGAGAGCTAAGCACAAGGAGACCCTACACAGCAGCAACTTTCAAAGGCAGCCGGCTTTAGCAAGTCATGGCACCCGAAACCCTACCCCTAAACCCTGAGCCCGGAACTAGAACCTTTCTGAATTCCAGCTCCTCCATCCACACAGCCGATGAGCGTTGGCGAGTCCATCGCCCTGCTCATCAAGCCCTAAGCCCTCAACTTGAAATCTCAACCCCTAGACCCCGAGCCCGAATCCTTACTTCGAGGGTTGTTGCCCTCAACCCTATAAACCTCCAATACTCTTATCCAATACTCTTATCCTTATTCAGGAACTCCCAAAAAGGATTCAAGGTCCCGCCTCCCCCCCCTGCTTTCTATGTCCGAGGGGGGCTTTATGATGGGAGCGGGTATCGTGAAGGCTTGCAGATCGACCTTGAACCAGAAGACCAGTGAACCCGCATTCTTGTGTGTCTAGAAAGTCTCCTAGAAACCCTAAACGCCCTATGAACCCTATGAACCCGAAAATCCTTCTTGTTTGGACACTCAGCTTGACTGAAGGGGCGATTTTTTCTGGTAGAGTCTGGGGAGGTAGACGGGGATCCTATGACAGCCCCTGAACCTGAAGCCCCAAAAGGTGATGACAAAACCTTCAACCCCTAACACGGAGTTTAGGGTTTAGGGTGAAGAGTTAAGGGTTTAGAGTTTAAGGGTTAAGGGTTTAAGGGTTAAGGGTCTAAAGGGTTTAAGGGTTAAGGGTTAAGGGTTTAGGGTTTAACTTTAAGTGAGCCGAAGTCTTGAGTTCCCTGGAGTCTGAGGCTCGTTGATTCGCCGGGTCTGCCCTGCGGGCTCGAGGTTAGGACGCCATGCGGGTGTCAAGCAGCGTTTCAGGGCGTGTCACCCTAAACCCGAAACCCTAAACCCTAAACCCTAAACCCTAAACCCTAGACCGCTTCAGGGCTCTTAGGCTCAATGCTCTGGCTCTCCGGTAGTGATCTAATATCTTTGAAGGGGCTAGGGTGGCAGGCCTGATGGGTTTAGGCTTGCATCCCCATCTCGTAAGGTTCCAGTACCGCGGTGTACGTCTCAACATGCCCCACTGACCCTAAACCCTAAACCCTAAACCCTAAACCCGACACCCTACCTCCGTTCGAGCCAAAGTTGAGGTCGAGTTCCGCAGTTGGGGCGCTGCAACTCCTGAAACAACCTATTAACCTACCCGGCACCCCAAAAAAAACTGATGGGGTTTAGGGCTTTCGGCACAGAATGCGCAACAGGGAGAGAGGAAGATGGATACAGAGAGAGAGAGAGAGAGAGAGAGAGAGAGAGAGCGAGAGAGAGGGAGAGAGAGGGAGGGAGGAGGGTTCAGGGTTTAGGGTTCCGGGGCTTCAGGTTTTTGCTACCTTTTTGAATGGGGTGTAGGGCGAAAGGCTATAGGACTTAGGCGAACTTTTCCGGAATGGGTTTTGCAGGGAACCTAACCCCCTTACCCAATAGTTTTGGACATGGTTTAG